TAAGATCAAGGTTGGGATTAAGGTTGGGATCCATTATTATTATTATCATTTTATATCATTATTTGCATCTTTAGTATCATATTATACCATTATCATCATCGTTATTATTATTTTGTATTATTATTATCACCCTTATTATCATTTTATATTATTATCATCATCGTTATTATCATTTTGTATTATTATCATCATCGTTAGTATCATTTGTATTATTGTGACCATCGTTATTATCATTTTATATTATTATCACCATTTTGTATTATTTTATTATTTATAGAATCTTTAAAATACTCAAAAATCATAAAATCATATTTTTTCCAATTCGTTTTGGTTTTAGAAAACAAAAATTATTTTCCCCATCGTATATTCAGATTATTTGAAGTGAAACTTCCCAAAGTAAATTAAGAACTGTAAGGCTAATTCTACTTAAAGGGATTGACTGTTAATGTAATTACAAGTGACCCTCCAGGGGGGCATGGCCGATTTACGTACCCTTTAAACCGCTATCTAATCAATAAAGCCACTTTTGTATAGAAACCTCAATTACAATAATCAATTTGAGATAATGTAGACATTTTATTTATTCATAATCAGACAAAGGTTTTAGATAGAAATTCAATTGAGATTATAACTATAGTGTCCTAAAATAAAGATAAAGGAATTGAGTTTTTGCCACAACCTCAAATTTTCTAATTTCTATATCTCTGGAACTAGGGGGTATAAACCTTTGATATTTCAAACTTAGATTATTTGATCTAACAGAATTAATAGTTTGAAATATCTAAGGTCTACGACATTGGGTTGCTAAGATATAGGGATAAGAATATTTAAGTTTGTGGCAAAAACTCAGTTCCTTTGAAAAAATGGAACGACAAGGATATTTTAATTGACCCTTTAATTAGGCGATATCAAAAACGATTGACAAACACACTTAAACTAATCTTATATCAAGAACTCGGGATTTTTCACACAACATTGAGGCGAATCTCAGACAAATAAATAATTCTTCGTGTAAAAAAAAATAATATCATTATAAAAAAATAGTGTTAATTTTTTTATTGAAGAAGCAAATCTATATAATTTTAATAAATGTCTTAGCTCATATATATATTAACTATAGCTGGCCAAACGGCTGAACTTTTTTTATAGGAAACCCATAGGCTGAAAAATTTTAAATTTGTTTTCCTTCATAATTAGATTTTTTTTTAAATAAGAACCTTTTAATTCCACGGGCAACGCCAGGTAATTTTTATACAAGCCTCAGCTAAATGTGAAGTATTTTTAGATCGGGGCGAGAGGGGGGGAAGGGAAGTATACAAATCTCAAATATATTCATATTGGCAATGGACGGATGTATAATGCATATATTGAAGAAATGACGAATGACAAGTATTATTGTTTGCCAACTAAAAGTTTGTACTTTCTTTCTTGTCTTCATGATGTATAAAGCGTCTCATTCGTCCAATAATGTATTAGATTATCTACATTCTACAAGTTTTGGACCCAAATTACGTCAATAGTTTTTTCTTCTCTCGAGTCAAAAACTTTTTCTCAATCTAAACAAAGTTGAAATTTTTTTTCAAAAAGGAATTGACAGGGATTTCTAAATATCTACACGCTGGTTCTAGACATAGTCTATTTTTCGAATCTGTAAAAAACTCAGGTGGCTTTGTTTTTAAAACCTACTTCATAGCTGAAGTGAACGGTGATGCACGATACCACACCACATCTCATGTGTAAGAATAAATAAATTCAAGCATTCAATAATTTGTATCAAAACCTCACAAGCAATAACTTTACATCGCATTTTGGTGAAATTGTATCTTTTAAAATGGTCGGAATTTATAAATGATAAGAACCAACGAACTAGTTGCCATCAAACAAGATTACCCACAAAGGATGAGCCTTGAAAAGACGACTGTAGAAAACTTGTTCTTTTTTACTTTAGTGGTTCATAGCAGCTGCAAACTGGCTTTATACATTTCAAAATCATTTATTGCACTATTAAAAGACCCAAATTTTCTATAATTGGAATTATTATTATAGAAAAGTTTTAGGTCGTCATTGAAGTGTCATCCTTTATGGGTAACCCTGTACCATCTCAAGAAATATTGACAACTGGAGTTGTTGTGATGCAATGGTGACAAGGTCCCATGCATGTAAGAGAGGGGGTGCAGACTATGGCCGCCATGAGCCACGCAAAATGACCCCCGGAGCCTCCTTATACGAAGAATCACCTCCAAGCGTGGAAACAGAATGGCGGAGGCTTGGAGGCGTAGCGTGAGGCGCGGAGACGGGACTTAAAGGTCATTTTACGTACCAGGAGGCTCCGGAGGTCATTTTGCGGAGCTTATGGCGGCCCTGGACCACCTCCTTTCCCCTAAAAACTAAAAACTTACTTCCGAGCAGTCTGAAGTTCATGAATTAACCGCTCAGGACTCTTCTCTATCTCACAGGATCTAAAAAGTTAAATTTTAAAACCAAAAAAAAAATACAAGTTTCGTTTTTAAGCCCGATGTCTTCCCATCTAAATAACATCATAATTTACAAATTTAAGACCCAGAAAACTTAAATACTCTCTCTAAAATGTTCACTGAAAAACCGAATTTACATTGAATTTTGTGCAATTTTTACTTAACTTAAGTTTACTTAAGTTTGGACCTAAGAAAATGAAAATATGTTAACAATACTCTCTGAAAAATGATATTGGAGAATTGGGGTTGTGAAATATTTTTTTTAATAGTAACATGCAATTTTATAAATGACCATATAATCTTTCATTTATGTTTGCATATTTCAATACATTTCGTAGATTATACCGAAGAAAAAGAAAATATATTAACATTACAGAAGTGCTAACCTCAATTAACCAACAGAAATGATAGGTTTGGCTAGTAATTTTTTAGTTTAATTTTTAATTCTACCTGGAGGATAAGGCTAGGGTTTTATCTCCTGCTGCTGCTATGCTATGGCTTCTAGTAATTGTAGAGTTGGCTCCTAGAGAAAATATGTTCAATACAAACTTGGTCTAGGTTTGTTTAGAAGATCCTGTCCTGTATCTACTCTTCAATCTAGGTTGGGATCTAGGTTTGATCTAGGTTGAGATCCAGGTTGAGATCTAGGTTGAGATCTAGGTTGGGTTCAGGTTGGGATCTAGGGTGAGATCCAGGTTGGAATAAAGGTTGGATCAAGGTTAGATCAAGGTTAGATCTAGGTTGGATCTAGGTTGGGATCTAGGTTGGGATCTAGGTTGGGATCTAGGTTGGGATCAAGGTTGGGATCAAGGTTGGGATTAAGATTGGATCAAGGTAGGATCAAGGTAGGATCAAGGTAGGATCAAGGTTAGATGTATGGTTGGGATCCAGGTTAAGATCAAGGTTGGGATTAAGGTTGGGATCCAGATTGGGATCCAGGTTGGGAAACGGGTTGAGATCCAGGTTAAATCAAAGTTGGAAATGAGATTGGGATCCAAGTTGGCCGTCTAGGTTACATCAAGGTCGGGATCAAATTCAAATTAAACCTTGTCAACTTGAAGTAATCCTAGATGTTTAAATTTTGGCTTGTCACACTTTTTGGATTGTTTGCATCAAAAAACTCTGCGAAAATTTTTAATTTATTTATTTATTTATATCTACTGTATGAAAAGAAAGCTTCTTGAGTCAAGTAACAGCGAAATGTTAAAATTTGTAATTAGAACGCACTAGTATTGAGGAATAATAATACATAACAAAAATAAAAATATATAAATTAATTTAATTAAGTTTACTGTTTAGGTCCTAGTATTTACTTGAAATATAGAAATATCAATATTATTGTCTAAATTTATAAGGCACTAGCTTGGGAACACAGCAACTGCCAAGGTTACTAAAAGTTACTTCCGCCGTTTACCCGCACTTGACAGATTTTACCGGGTACCTATATTTTAGCTATTAAAGTCGACCCACTCAACTTCAAATCTTTAAACCAAGCAAAGAACATTCCTGTGGGTCTCCCGAGATCCCCAATACAAATTTGAGGCATATCAGTCCAGGGGTTCCTGAGTTATGATCGGACAAACAAACAGACAGACAAACAGAGATTACAACTTTATAGATATAGATAGATGCCTAACTACAGCACATATGTTTAAAGTCTAATGTCTACAAAAGCAATTCTTTATTTTTCTAATTTTAATGACTCCTCCCAGCCCCCCCCCCCCCCTCGGGATTGCACAGTAGGGTACCAGGGGGTTAGCAGTATTGAGTTTATACCATAAATCTCTAAAACTCAAGTCAAGTAAGGCTCGTTCGCTTTTAAGCAATTTTTTTAGAGAAGTGTCAAAGTGATGTTGCGTTGAACATCTAAAATCAGACAGAAAACTGGTGATTTCTACGAGAACTCTTAAAATGGGTATTTTCTACACGAATCAGAGACGATACCCATTAACGCTCCAAAATATTCAATTAATGGTTGTTAGAATCTATTAATCATCCGGAATCCGTTGTAATTTCGTGTAAAAGTTTTTTTTCAATCCATACGTCTCTACATGTAAACTTCTTACACTATGACCTTTCTAATGTACACAATATTGTGAAGTTACAAGATCCCAAGGATGTAATGCAAGGGTAGTTATTTCAGAAGTGTACACATCTTTTGTACTGCAGTGTACTGTCTCTGTGCGGCAATGTAAACACAAGACGGATGTCAAAGCCTGAGATGGGATCCATCTTTCACATAAAAAGTCAATGAAATATTCTGGTCATAGGAAACTATTATGTGAAATATCAAAATTATCAAAATTTAATGCTTTAAACCTCCTCGGATACTAAACGAACACTGATGCATCTTTTCTCGTTTACAAATTCCGCCCAAAGAGAACTGGTTTCAATATGTACGCAGAGTATAAACGACCGCAATTAACTTTCCTTGCATTACACCCTTGCAGGATCCATTCAAGGATAAATATATGAACGGGAAAAGTAATAATAAATTAAAATCATTATAAATAAATGCACGCTACAATCAGAATATATTCATTTTGTCCATGATTTTGATCCTGATTTTGGAGAAACTATGCGTAAAAAGTCAACCTCTAGAAAGTTGCACTTCGCACAAATATAGACTTTCCGATGGGGTATCTCTCTTGAAACCCAAAAAGTTGAAAATATTACGATGGAACTATATATGCTAAAAAGAGCAACACAAAACAAGTAAAAAAAATACTGGATGAAAAAAAACTGTAAAAATCTATTCTGTAAACTACACTATAAACCTTTAAATATTCTTCTACATTTGCTGTCAGAAACAGTTCTCTTGACAGGATGATCTGCCGAAAATAAGAAATAAGTCATTAAAAAAAAATTTCTAAAAAATTACTAAAAATAATTATTTTGATAAGTTTGAATTGTCTAGATATTAATTACTTTTGGAGAATACAGGGAGTATGCTATAAAGGTACTATAAGCGTAATTTTAAGTGACCCTTTATGCGAGGATGGCAATGCCCGATTCACAACTGAGACATAAAACCTTAATCTGATCAATAATTTTTCTAGGTTTAAAAGTATTAACTTTTGATAATTTCTTTATGTTTTCCTGTGGTATAAATGCACTAGTTTTTACTACATAATTTAAATTGATTACTAATTTATACTTGACGAGACAATGCTTTTAAGGATCCCATTGTGAATCAGCATTGTCATCTTTGTATAGAGGGTACACTGGTACAGTCCTTTAAATATTCTACCTGATTTGGAGATGGTTGGAACAGTATCCGAATTTGTCCTATGGTGGTATGTAGAAGAGTCCAAGGAGGAGTGGGGGGAGTTGGAAAGGGAGAGGTGACGGTATGCTCCATCTCTCTCCTTGAACATCGTCAAATCAAATTTAAAATCAAAATTTAAATTTAATTTTCTTGGTTTAGTCTGAGAAAAGGCCATAATGAAAAATACCCCCCCCCCCTTAACAATCTAATTTTAGAGACAAAAAAATGGAAATTAAAATAAAAATTTATTGGTATAGCCCAAAAAAGAGCATGATCAAGAATACATTCCCCCCCCNTGGACCCCCCCCCCCCTCCTTGTCCCTTAAAAATTAACATTTCATAGAAAAAGAAATGTACTCTTACAGATAAAAAACCAACCATGCCTTTATCAAAAATCTTAAAACTGAAAAAACATATATTTGTGAATTATTTTAGTTGATCAGATGAAAAAAGTAAATATTAACCTGAGATATTCTTTTCAAATCCTTCTTTAGCATATCCCTCTCATGGGTTACCAGCTGAAAAATATCACACTGTATCGAACAAATATTGTCTTCAAAGGAAAAAGAAAATGCGGAAAATACAGAAATCTGTAATCTAGTAGTTGTAATGTCTGTTTGTTTGTTTGTAAGTCCGATCCCTAGACCGATTTGCCTCAAATTTTGATTGGGAAACTCGGTTGAACCATGTTAATGTTCTTAGCTTGGTTTAAAATTCTAAAACAAAGCTGTGTTCCAAAGCTAGAATATTAAAAATATTCAACATGTAAGTTTAGTGTCAAACGATATTTACTTCTTATTTGTAAAAATAAAATTATGGGAAAATATACTGAAATATTTAAAATAGTTCAGCATCTTTATGTCCTGCATATTTAAAATTCCTTTAATATTTAACCAGAATTTTCATTTTGATTTCATTTGGTTTTGGTTAGATTAAGCCAATTTCACGTAAAAGCGCTGCGGCTAAGACAAGCTCGGAGCCGAGCGCTGCTGTGTTCTTGTATATTATGTTGTTGGTCTCAAGGTTCCGTGATATTAGGGTGTCTCAGAGTCAACATTTTCCTACCTTTAGCTGAGCTTTAAGCAGTGTAATATTGCTTTGTTGGTAATCAAACTCATCAGAGCGGAGTGGAGATAGAGGAGCCGGGGAGTAGATTACCAGACCCTCCTGACAAAATAAAACTTGAAATACCAGTATTTATAGGGACTGTTACCTAGTTTTAAAGGGACTGTACGCATAATTTCAAGTGACCTTACATTTATAGAGTGGCATGTCTGATTTACGACGATACCCTTTAAACCTTTGTCTGATCAAGGATTTCGTATGTATCCTTTTTTATATAGCGGGAAGTGAAGTGCGAAGAAACCATGCAATTAGTGTACAGTGTACACTGCAGGGTGGCCAAAACTTTTTTGAACCCATCCGTACAAAAATCCGTACATTTTCAGAAGAAATCCGTACAATCCGTACAATTTTCGAAAAACAATCCGTACAATCCGTACAATTTTTTTTAAAAAAATCCGTACAATCCGTATCATGAAAAATTTGCTGAAATGAGTGAAAATTTAAAAAAAACGGTGTATTTTCCAGGATAAAATCCGTACAATCCGTACAATTTGAAAACAAATCCGTACAATCCGTACAATCCGTACAATCCGTACAATTTTAGGGTTAAAAAAAAATCAATCCGTACAATCCGTACATTTTGGCCACCCTGACACTGTAACCTCGAGTCTCCTGGCACTTCAGGGTATCTACCTCATCGTTCTTCCAACAAAGGTTTAAATGGTACCATTGTAAATCGGACATGCCTATCGATAAATGAAAGGTCAATTGAAATTACGCTTACTGTCCCTTTAAATGATCTCTCATTTCAAGATTGCAGGCCCGATCAAGAATAGTTTTCTATCTGAGTACCAATGTTGAAGATATCGGAATATTGCCCATATGAGCAAGTCACTTTTACAGAAACTCCAAAAATAAAAATAATTTTCTTTTAACTAGAAAAGCTATTATCAGGCAAAAGTTTAAAGAGTGTACTGTTGTTAATGGAACATGCCCCTTTTCTAACGGAGGGGTGTCATTTGAAATTACGTCACATTCTCATTAATCACTATTATTATTATTAACAATCAACCTACAGACAAAAAGACCTGTATGACATTCTTCAGGGGTAAAATTAATTAATTGGGAGGCAAGGGTTTACATTTTTCAGTAGGACCCCCCCCCCTCATCAGATGAGGGGGAAATGATTTATTTTCCCTAAAAATCATATATTTTTCCCAATCCAGCGAAAAAATTATTTTTAAAAAAAGGGTTAGTCTTCTCCCAAAAAGGGTCCGTCTTCTCCCAATCCTATTTATACGCCCCTAAGTCCTTGAAATGAATAAACTCAAATATTGAATGAAACTTTATATGTAATTTTACAAAAACACTTAAAATATATTTTTTAAGTGAGACATGTTCTACCTGGTTTTCACCCATCATCATCAACTCACGTTCCCGGTCCCGTTCTCGCTCCCAATCCCTTTCCCGATCCCGATCTCTATCTCTGTCTCGATCTCGATCCCTATCTCGATCTCTTTCTCTATCTCTACCACCACTGGCGTCTCCCATTTTTCAGGTTATCTATCCTTCTGTATTCAACATTCTGAAACATAAAAATAATAATAATAATAACAATAATAAACTATGAATAATAATCATATTAAAGGGACTGTAAGCGTAATTTCACGTGACTCTCCGATATTAATGCCCAATTTACAACGGAACCCTTGAAACCTTCATCTTATAAAAATTGTGGAAGAAAAATCGAACATTGTCATCTTAGCATGGAGGGTCACTTGAAATTACGCGTACAGTCCCATTAAGCATTGGCAGATCTAAAAAAATTGTAACAATAATAATAACCGGTCAACTATCGACATTCATTGAAAAATCAGAGTTGTAATCTGCTATTCAACAATTAACAAATAAAAATTTCAACATGAAATATTATGACTAAAATGTATTACAGATCAGAAAATAATATCGGTTTAAGATAAAGACAATAAAAAAATACAGTATTAAAAGAGCTAAATATTTCCTAAAAATCATTTTTGTAATAATGGTTTTTTGAGGTAAAATATAAAATTTACTAAATACAAAAATCTCATTTTCAAATTTGCACCTGAAGTCAGAGGGAGGGGAAGTCTAAAAATATACCACGGCTGATTGATGAATCCTAAGGCCGAATTTAATGAATTTGAACCGCGTCGCTGAACCGCCAATCACCGGTTCAAATCGCGCGCTAGCTCAAATCTCGAAACAATGATTAAAATTTCAAGTTAACAAGCCTAAACGCAATTCAAATTCATTAAATTCTGCCTCTGGCACATGAAAATATTACAGCTGCTGTTAATCAACAGTTACAAAAGTTATCGACGTGAGTGTTAAATAATATTTTATCACAGTATGATACGGTAGACATTGTGACTTTGATTGCCATTACTCGAACTATATTCGTAGTTCTATGCCAGTATCTTAACTATATCTATAGAATCATAATTTTATGCCAGTATCTGAGCTTTATCTATAGAATCATAGTTTTATGCCAGTATCTGAACTATATCTATAGAATCATAGTTCTATGCCAGTATCTGAACTATATCTATAGAATCATAGTTCTATGCCAGTATCTGAACTATATCTATAGAATCATAGTTCTATGCCAGTATCTGAACTATAACCATAATGTTTCAAGAACCAATCCTCTCTGTTAAGGTTCAAAGCTTGCGTACGAGTATGCCACACTAACACCCTAATAAAAGAAAATATTTAAGGGCCTTTCAAAGTAATTTTAAGTGTCCTCATGACCCAAATTTGTTGGTCTATTCGAAAGAGTTTATTCTTGTCCTTATTCAGATTTTTTTTATCTTTTTTTAGATTTATTTTTAAGATTTACAATGAGGAACATTTCGTTGATTTTAGTTTTTAAAAACAATGATTCTTCTCAAATGGATGGATACTTTAAAATTACGTGGATAGTCCCTTTAAACAGTTTTGGATCAATATTTCATCTTTCAAAAATATGTCAAATAAATAGGTTTTTTTGATTAAAAAAAGGATCTTTAAAAAAATTTAAATTCTGTTTTTGAAAAGCTAAATTGAGATTATATATGATTTGAATAGATTTGAATGTTGTTTCCAAAATAGCCAACAATGAATGAAACAAAACAAATATTTTGAAATATCTTAAAATGAAACAAAAACAAATATCATGAAATATATTGAAATTAGAAAATCAAATTTCTTGAAATATCTTAAAATTAGACAAAAACAAATATCTTGAAATATCTTAATAAAAAACAAAAACAAATATCTTGAAATATCTTAAAATGGAAAAAAAAAACAAATATCTTGAAATATCTTTAAATTAAACAAAAACAAATATCTTGAAATATCTTAAAAAACAAAAATAAATATTTTGAAATATTAAACAAAAACAAATATCTTGAAATATCTTAAAATTAAACAATCAAAAAATATCTTGAAATATCTTAAAATGAAACAGAAAAAAATATCTTGAAATATCTTAAAATTAAACAAAAACAAATATCTTGAGATATCTTAAAATTAAACAAAAACAAATATCTTGAAATGTTGAGAAACACTTCATACAGTGTGCACTGTGGATTGTACATCTTACTAATCAAAACTTTGAATAATCAAAAGATTTATACAATTAAATACTAAAAATATTGGTTTTTTTAACGACCAGTTCAATTTGAACTTCTAGAGAACCCCCGACAAATTATACAAAATGTGCAGAAACCATAACAAATTATAAAAAATGTGCAGAAACCATGACAAATTATAAAAACAGTGCAGAAACCATGACAAATTATAAAAAATGTGCAGAAACCATGACAAATTATAAAAAATGTACAGAAACCATGACAAATTATAAAAAATGTGCAGAAACCATGACAAATTATAAAAAATGTGCAGAAACCATGACAAATTATAAAAAATGTGCAGAAACCATGACAAATTATAAAAAATGTGTAGAAAAAGGTAACCTTCCAACGGCCACAGGTTCAAGTTGGTCTAATGAAACCAACTGAAATAAGAACTCAGACTCCTGATGTCCGACTTTCACCTGCTCCAAGAACTTTACGTCTAAAACAAAAAATTATATCCCTGGGGCCACAATATTTTCCAGACTTTATTAATTTAAATTCAAACCCAACTTTATTTACCCGCCTGGAGACTAAACGCGCGTTAAACATTTGGCATTCCAGGCCGCATGTTAATGCGCTGTACCGTAAGGGAGTTCCATGTCTGTTTCCTTTTCCGGCCTGTCTATCATTATCATTAATCCACTTAATCAATTAGTTTTAGCCATTTTGATCGGATAAAGGGTATTAATCATAAATCCCATATTTTTAAACAATTACAATATTACATACAACCTATTAATAACTAGCTTCTTTAGAAACCCAACTATCTCGGAAACTAAACTTATTCTATAAAAGTCAACCCACTCAATTTAGAACTTTTAGATCTAGATAAGAACATTCTCTCATTTCAAAGTGTGGATAAGATGCAGATCACAGAGGTTCTCCAGAGTTTCTCAATCAAAATTTAAGGCAAATCGGTCAAAGGGTTCATAAAAAAAGATTAATACTTTATATATTTATATCATATAATTACAAACCTGTGTGCTTTAAAAAGTACTGAAGGTTGATGGCAAACCCCGCCATGTCAACAGCAAACGGTCGTTCATTCCCCCAACCAACCTCCCATCCAACCACTTTACCACCTGAACAAGGATCCACATTTCAATCACCAGGAGAGTAAAACAGTGGTTCATATAATTTAATAAAATGCGATTCCAAATCTTTTTAAGACAAAAAAAAATTTTAAAATGCGACATTTTTAGAAATGACTCACCAGATACTTGTGGTTTCTCGACTTTAACTCCTCCCACGAGACCGACAGGAAGGACGGAAACCCGTTTAGTGCCTCGGATCTCTTCAAACAGATCAACTGGATTAAAAAACTTTATTTTCTATTTTTAGCTGTCAAAATTGTTTTGATTTTTTAAGTTTTTGGGACAAAAAAATAAATAAAATAATAATAATAAAAAAAATACACTTTTTAAAGTAACATTTTGGTTTAAAGTTGAAAATTGCTGATTGAATTTACTTTTTTATCAATAATTTTACTACTATCGATCAAGCAAAGAAACTTGGCAAATCTTAATGATTTTCAAAGAAAAAAAATGTTAGGAAAAAAGTGAAATTCTACGATTTTGAGTCCATAGCCGGACAAAAATCTAAACTTGGTCGACTTATATGAGAGTATCAAGATAGAAGAAATATCAAATTTTCCTGAATAAGTATTGTCGTCGTCGGCAAAATAAATGATTCCTTCTTTATTTTTCTCATTTTCCTTTAGCCAACTAATTTTTTATATATATATATCAATCAATTACTAAATTAGCTTCTATCAAATATAAAGTAGTGGTTAGGCTTTATGCTTTTATCTTTAATGGATAAAAACTTGGATCCCAAAATATTTAGAAAAATATTTTCTCCAATGAAGCACAACTACTTTAAACAATTTCGCAAAACTTAAATTAAGAGTAAAAGGTAATAAAAACGAGATTGAATCAATTTCAAAATGAGAATTTTTTAAGATTTTCAAAATCTTGGAATAATTACAAATGATAAATCTCTTTTCTCCCGAAACGGATACAGGAACCGAATCCAGGAACTGGATCCAGATCTGGATTAAATTGGAAATAATCTGAGTTAAAGAAATATGTCTGGATTCTATCCACTCTGTAAGCTATGATTGATTGATTGATCAATTGACTGATTGATTGACTGTAAAAATCCGAATTGGTTAAAAGTATTCTGTAAATTGCACACTTCAAAGTAGGAAATATATTTCAAAGTTTTTCTACATCATCATCATTCCGACTGAGAAGCTTGATTTTTACTGATTGATTGATTGATTGATTGATATATTGCCTAAGTGCTAGATTTCTCTGAAAAACCCCTCTAGGCTTGCTCCACCACTTATCCTAAGATAAGAGATTATTGTTAAGAGATTAAAGCCCCAAAACTTGAGATTTAAGACACACCACTTCTAATGATCTACAGATCCTAATATTCCAGCGCATCTCAGTAACAACTCTAAACCTCATGTATTCAGAAGATAACCCTGAGGCACCGGATCATTCAGACCCCAACAATCCCAGAGAAGACGTCAAACTGTCGCTCTTAAGGAAACAGCGGCTTTCAAAAGAGGTCATATAAAATCTGCAAGATGGCAGGAAGGCCTCCTGCCATCGATGCGAGTCACAACCAAGCATATTGAAAACCAAACAATGTGATCCTGAACGCTGCATAGTATCGTTTTATGAGTGTAGCATTTTTCTAGTATAATCCCCCGTTTACTCCAATTTTAGTTAATTTTGTACCTTAGGTTTAAGTTTCATCTTGGCAGGAGTCTGAATATTAAGATGAGTAGAAGGTTTGGGGAAGCTCGTTAATAGATTCTTCACAAGGTCAGTTTTAGAACTAGAAAAAATTCTTGGGTTCAGACAATACAAGGGTTTTTACATACAATTTAATTTTTTTTTGTTTTTCTACTTTTATCCATTATCATTTTGTTTATAATGTACTAGCTGAAGTGCTCAGGTATGCCAATGGAATTTAGAAAAAAAATTAAATATTAAATTAAAAGAGTAAATAAATTAAATTTAAAAATATGCTTTTTTCCAATTTTTTTTAGCTAATTTGGTCCAGCCGTTTAGCCAGCTACAGCTTACAAATAATTATATATATACATATATATATGAGCGAATAGCTTTACCATATAGATTACTGTATAATGAATTAATTAGTGGTCGGCGTTTATATCAATACTATAAAAACGACTTTCTTTTCTGTTTTGAAGATTTCTGGCAAGCTTTTATACAGCAGAGACATATAAACTTGTAAACAAAGAAAATTCATTGTGAAGATGATATTTGATTAATATTAATGAAATATTTATTTTTTTATTTATTTTTATTTTTGGTTATATGCTGTGCACTAAATTGAAAATACCCTACCTTGAATCTTCAACAATTATCCAGTGAAGATTAGGAACAAGGGTAAATGCATTCATAAGACGGGTCAACTCAGCTAGAAATAGAATAGGTAGATCAGATTCTAAGATTTTATGTCTGACAATAAAACTTAATGACACCCATACAACAGTAAGTATTTCCAAATTCATTTCCAGCCCTTTCATGTTACTTTTTCTCTTTTATTTCAAATTTTTTTCAACTTTTTAAAACTTTCCAAGTTTTTTTAAATAATTTTTTTTCAACTTTTTTACTTTTTTTCTTTAAATCTTTCGGGGTAGTTTCAACAACCCATACAAAAGTAAGTCCTTCCAAAGTCATGTCCAGCCCTTTTTTATAACTTTTTTTTCATTTTTTTAAAACTTTTAAAGAATTTTTTATCAACTTTTACCTTTTTTTCAAATATTTCTGGGTAGTTTTGTAAAAATATTTATTCACACTTATCTTTGTTTATCTCCTTTTAAAATTTTTTAAATATGTGTTAGGTCATTAAAAACGTTTTAATAGACTTTATTTATGTATTTTTTGGAACACTTGTTAAGCACATTTGGGCTAAATTTTAAAGCCTTTTCCTTTGAGCAGAAGATTTTTCTGATTTGATCTAAGAGCGGGAGGGGGGGGGGGGGGTTACCTTTTTGAACTGGTCTAGTGTATGTCGGAGTTATCACATAAATAATTGGTATCGAGGTATCAACTTCATGAGTCTGTATCCTGTGTATCTTGGCTCTAAGTGTCTGTATCTCCTGGTTGAGTTTGAATACTGTATCATTGTGCTCAGTCTGGGCCTGGAGAAGTAACCATATTCCTTCAACAGGTCAACAATACATTTTTAAAGGGACTGTTAACGTTTTTCCGGGTCACCATTTCTTGTGTGGCTTTAACCAAGGGTTCTCTTTAAATGTTTAAAGCGAAACATTAATTACGGAAATAACTAAAAGTTATTTTTTGTTTAAACTTTAACTTTTTTCAATCTTCGAAACTTTTATTTTACATTTTTTTACTAATTTTCTAATGTTTTTTTGTGCTCAGTAAATTATTATTAGATTAGATCAGATTATAAGGCTACATTTCAACCCAGAAGTGAATTTACTTTAACAAGAATGAGATTTGGCCTTAAAGCTTTTTAAATTTCTGACTTTTCCCCTTTGAACAATTAACATAAGATAAGATAAGGGAAGAATCTAAAAACCCCCCCATCTTGGAGAGCCCAGTCCGCCATCGGGGCTAACTCCAACTCCCATGAGCTCTGGCCCCCCCCCGGCTCCCATACATCCATGGGAAGATGCTCATAAGGATTCATAAGGAAGTGAAATCTGCAAGAGGCCCCAATGCTACCATTTGAGAAAGTGAAAAATCAAATTTAATCAAATCAATTCAGACCAGACTCTCAGGGTGCCCTCCCCCCACGGCCCACTCTGCAAACCCGAGATGACTTTACTAAATCAGGTCTTCAGAAAGGTAAAATATTTCAAAATTATTGTTCACTGTTCCTATGAGAATAGAAGAGACTAGAAGACCAGCATAGATTTGTTTCATCCTGTTTCGTCTCCAACACATCCCTAGTCATGAAATTAAATACATGAAAAATTATTTTTAAAATTTGTTGTTCAAATTCTACAACATTTGATTCAGCGGTTTCTTCCGGGAATTTTATCCTTGGTTTGGTGGATCCCACCTAAAAGGAAGTATCCATAATTCAATTTTAGAGGAACGTATTCAATTTCAAGAGGAACGTATCCAGTTCTAATAGGAACGTTTTCAATTCTAAGAGGAACGCATCCAATTCTAAGAGGAACGTATCCAATTCTTAGAGGAACGTATCCAATTATAAGAGGAAGTATCCATTATCCAATTCTAAGAGGAACGTATCCTATCCTAAGAGGAACGTATCCAATCCTAGGAAAGTATCCAATCCTAAAAGAAATGTATCCAATTCTAAAAGGCAGATATCCAATCCTAAGAGGAATGTATCCAATCCTAAGAGAAATGTCTCCAATTCTAAAAGGAACGTAATCCTAAGAGAAACGCATTTAATTCTAAGAGGAACGTATCAAATTCTAAGAAGAACGTATCCAATCCTAAGAGGAACGTATCCAATCCTAAGATGAACATATCCAATCCTAAAAGGAACGTATCCAATCCTAAGATGAACATATCCAATCCTAAGATGAACATATCCAATCCTAAGAGGAACGTATCTAATCCTAAGAGGAACGTATCCAATCCTAAGATGAACATATTCAATCCTAAAAGGAACGTATCTAATCCTAAGAGAAACGCATTTAATTCTAAGAGGAACGTATTGATCATTTTCTACTATTGGAGAAAACTAATAAAATTATAAAAATATTGTTGGGATTGAATCTCTTTATCTCGTTTAAACTAAATTACTACTGATAACATAATTATTTTATTTGCTTCAAAAATTTAAATAAAGAGATACATTACTATTTTCTAGACACATGGTTGTAATGTAGTTATCAATTCGCTTTTTCCTAAATGCATATTAAAAATAAAGTTTGGATTTCCAAAAGAATAATCGACCTTTTTTTCGAGGAAAAATTATTTAATTTTGACCCCTTATAAACCTCCCTAGGGACATGAGATATACAACAACAAAAACATACTATTAATAACATTCTATTTTATAAAAATATACTTTATTTTATAAAAATAAACTTGGGAAAGATATAAAATTTCATCAGGGGCACTGGTCTCCCAAAATAGGGGTAATATTTATACTATTTAAACAATTTTTTTTCACGGACTGTTCTTTAAATGTTTACTAAAAAAGAAACTATTATTTCAGTACAATCATAATTAGACAGACTTGGAGTTAATTTTGAATTAATCAGACGACTTCACAACCTAAATTTACAAATACGATTAATTACACGATTATAACAAAAAAGCCCTAGTCCTGCCAATTCAAAATTGTTGTCTGTCTTTATTAGGCGTTTAGAATTACCAGAGAATATATATGTAAAGTCATCTGTTTAACTGTCAATTAATTCCGGATCTTTCTGGTTATCACTGTATTTTACCTCGAATACCAAATGCTCCCATCACATTCTACATTGTTCTGAAAAAAAAATTTAATGAAAACGTTTTTATTTTATCATTCAATCTCCTTCTTTTTCTTCTTTTTCTTCTTTTTTTCTTTAGTTTCCTAGAAATCAGCAAATATGAAACTTATAAAGTAAAGGGGGGGGGGGGCAATTCAACACTTTGTGAAACCAAATTTGTACAAGCTAAAATAGAAGGCTGAAATTTTGCATGCAGCCTCGAATTGTGGTCATCTACATGGATCACAAAGAAAATTTGAGATCGAAGGTCATTAACCTCCTTTTTGACCTCCATGAACTTAAAAAAATACGGGAAAATACCACTTTTAACACTCTATTTCAATTATTTTAAGCTTATCAGACATGTTTTCATATTTTTTGCTTCCACATAAGTCATACGCTAATATAGACACATATATTCGACCTCCTTTTTGAGCTCCCTTCGATAATGACCTCCAAAAATGGTAAATGAAAATAAGTCACAAGAGGTATCAAGTCATAAGTTTTTCGGTGTTCTGATTCCATTCTGATACCCCTTTCTGATCATATGATCCTGAAAATCGTGACCTCCAAAATTAACTTACCTTTGGAGGTCAAAAAAATAAAATCAATGAAAAAAAACCATGTGAAGTATCAAATTATAGGAATTTTGGTGTTTCGATTCCATTAGAATTCCCCTTTTAGACCTCAGAAGGTTCTTAAGGCATTTTACCTCATATATTAATGACCTCCAGAGGTCAAAGTATAAAATCAATCATAATAAGTCATGAGAGGTATCAAATCATAGGTTTTTTGGTATTGATTACAGTCTGATCCCTTTTGGAACTCGGATAGTTCTAAAGGTTGCTGACCTTTAAATATCAATGATCTCCAGAGGTCTAAATTATGAAATCAATGAGAATGGGGCATTTTATGTATCTTTTCATTGTTTTATCTGAACCCAATACTAAAATTTTTTTAACTCTTAGAGTCCTGAATGTTTTTGATCTTTAATATTTTTAATCTTCAATATGTTTGATCTCAAAAGGTCAAAATTCAGAATCACCATGAACATGGATCATGTCAGGTATTAAATCATGGTTTATTTGCTGCTCTGAGTTCATTCTGAGGAGCCTTTTTGTCTTCAAATGATTATAAAATCGCCGACCCCAGATGGATATGACCTCAGGCTCTAAACCCTAAAATCAGTAAAAAAGATCAAGTTATGTATCAAATCATAGGGAGGCCCCTTTTTAACATAAGAATAAATATATTATATTCAGTGAGTGTGAGTTAACTTTTTCTCGGACCTAGTTGGTGAGGATTCAAAATGCGATTCATTCTACATTTTCTGCATTTAATTAATTCATAGTTTACAATTTACACGTCATTACCATAAAACTAGTGCATAGTATTTTCTTTCTAATGTCAGGAATATGCAGAACTGGCAGATTTATTTCAATTTTCTTCGTAGATTTTCTTAATGAGACTTAAAATTTAAATTGAAAAGTTATACATAAAACATCTTAGCTAATGTTCAATTCTTTTAACTATTTAAAGGAAACAACAAATCCGTTTTAAAACTTCTCTCTGAGGCATGAATCTCTTGTTGATTCAGTGTTATTAACATATAAGATTTGATACCTCACATGACTTATTTTCATTGATTTCATATTTTGACCTCTGGAGGTCATTGATATCTGGAGGTCAAATGCCTTCAGGATCATCTGAGGTCGTCAAAAAGGGGTATCAGAATGGAATCAGAACGCCAAAAAACCTATGATATGATACCTCACCCCCCCCTCCCCCATGATTTTAAACTTGAAATTTGCCAATTCCTTGGTTGATGTACAAGTTGACCGTTCCAGCACAGCTACAAAGAATCCATTACAGAGATCAGATGTAGGTTCAGCGCGCAGGAAATTATTTCCGATCTCCCCTTCTCCTCGCCGCTCCCAACTTTTACAATAAAACATTAATATTTATCATAACTAGGCTTCCAGAACACTCTTCTACGATTTTAACTTTTACTACTAGCTCTATCTGCAGCATTTACTCTTAATCATCAAACAATGACAATTTTTTTTTACAGATTTATCGATTTTTTTCGTGGATTTAAAAAGATCGGAATTCGGGCCAATCATAAACCTTCCCTTTTGTCATGTCAGGTCCCATACAAAATTTGGGCCTGGTCAGTTCAGCCGTTTTGACGTTTATTGGATACATACAATCAAACAGACAAGCAAAGTATATATATTGTATATTTATTGAAAGTCTTCCTTATCAAGATTAGAATTCATCAACATGATGAAACAAATCCTAAAACGAGTAGATTTGGAGACAATATCAGGAAAAGTCCTACTTATCATTAGTCTCATAATAAAATGTGTCTGCTTGTTATAATCATAATAAATGTTTTTCTAAAATGAATATTGTTAGCAGACAACCGATCGTTTAATGAGAAATGGGTCGACACTCCTCGCCACTGAAAGGTTTAAAAAGATTTAACACCTGGGTAAAACAATGCAAGTTCTCCAATCCTCTCTTTCTTTTAGAACATGCTCAATTACACCCTCATTCTCCTCTCTAGATAGATAGATAGATAGATAGATAGATAGATAGATAGATTGATAGATAGATAGATAGATAGATAGATAGATAGATACAATTCTTCTAAATCTAACACTCTCAGATCCGTAAAACAAAAACTCTTTTTGCCAAATTTTCGGTTTATTTAACCATCTTCAGGGCATATTCTATAAAAACATACAAAATAAGAAACTTGAATAATAAATGTTTAAGATTTATTTAAAAGAATTAAAAGATAAAAGTAACAATATATAAACAAAAACAAATAAACAGATTTCAAATGTGATACCTTGCTTTAACTCGACCAAAGATTAACTGAATATGAGTTTGAATTTTATGAATGGTGGTGTATAGATAGATAGATAGATAGATAGATAGATAGATAGATAGATAGATAGATAGATAGATAGATAGATAGATAGATAGATACAGAGCGTCCCATATCATATTAGATTATCTTCAATCTTTAACGACAAAATAAATCTTTAATACTCGAAAAACTTGTCATTTTCCGCAAGAAAATTCTTATATAAGCCTTATATTATTTTTCAAAATGATAAATTCTAATTAAATTTTCTGATTAGTCCCGAAAATCGTAATTTAGACCCGTTCTCGGTCTAATATGATGTGGGACACCCTGTAGATAGACAGACAACCAGATATAATATATATAGCTAGACAGACAGACAGACATATGAAACAACCCACCTTGAAACAGCGCACGTGGAATAAACCAATCGTTTAACACTGGGGAAACTTAATGCATGAGTTAGCAGTCTTATCTAAAATATCAACTTAATGAAAAGTTATATCGTTTCAAATAGATTATCAAGTACAATAGGTGGCAACAGAGAAATGGATCAATTATACACGACGTCACAAGTGTCAAGTATAACAAAGAAAACGAAATTTTCTCACATTATTTGACATGTCTTTCAAGATTAAATAAAAAGTGTAAAAACAGAAAATAAATAACACATAAAATTGCACCTTTTTCACTGTAAGATAAGCTCTTTATTCTAAAATTATCACTATTATTAATAATTTTGTCGGACACGATATTGAGTTGACACTTGTGATGTAAGAATACAGCTGTACTGAAAGTGTACAAATACTACGAATTGCCATCTATTGTAATTAACAATCTATTTGGATCGTTTTATTAGTGTATAATGTTATGTTATTGTCAAAAGTGATTACATGCAAGGCTGTAAAAAAGGTTGGCCTTCATTTTAATGTTACGTATTTAGACCGCTCATGAACAGGTTTAATAATGTTATGTAAAATAAACAAACGTTAGAAAACGATTATTACTGAAGTCCGGACATCCAAGAACGATCTTTAATTCCAATCTTGTTTTGAGTCAGCTAATTTCTAGTGGTTCTAATAAGTCTCAATAATGTACCTGACTATTGGCAAAAGTCTGCAATGATTCAAGTGTCGGGGCCTGATCTTCTAGACTATTCCTAATAATTATCAGGTTTTAAATACTTTATAACCACAGGGTGTCCCAAGAAACTTGACATTGGAAACACGACTTAATGGTGCTTAGGTGGTTTTTGAAACAATTTATAATTTGCTGCATTGAGAATTGGTATACATAATTTTAGAAGTAACATTCTGGAGATAATATTCACAATATTCCCTTATTCCTGATATTTCCAAAAATATGGTCTGCATTTTTCTGTGCTTTTAACTTTTTATGAGATTTGAAAATTTTTGTTTAAATTTCGACAATTTTGGTTTTATTTAATAACTTGAAATCTGAACGAAATTCTGAAAATGTAGTAATAAAAAGCAAGTCTTCCTAATGTCAAGTTTCGTGGAACGCCCAGTACTTAAACAATTTCAGATACCCATACTGACTTTACTATTTGCTTAATATTTTTGTCTCAATGAATTAAGTAAAAATGAGAACTTTTGTTATTCCTTTGGGCAAGCATTGTTATCTTGTTGTTTATTTTATCGTAATTTTATCAATAGCATTATCAGTATAGTTATTGATTTTAGAATATTTGAGATAAGGAACTCAGTCCTTGCAATAAACTCAAATTTTGAATACCTATCTCTATATCTTTACAACCTAATGGTTAAATAAAACCTTTTCTATTTCAAACTTAAGATCATTTGATCTAATAGAATTCATTTCTTGAAATATTTTGGGTCTATGACATCAGGTTGCAAGGATATAGGATTAGAAAATGCCAAAAAGACTAAATTTCTTGTACAAATCTGGGGGTGCAGTGCACAGTCTATTTTTATAAATTTTGAAGATCTGGGGACATACTTTTTACCCACAGAATTTTTTACGCTCCGCCCAAACATACTAGAGTTCCGGGAGAAAATATGTTTTCAAAAGAGATGATATTTCAGGAAAATAAATAACCCTGTTATTAATAAAATAAAATAAAATTTCACCTGTTTATCATTCCTGTTCCACTACAAGAAGGATCAAGGACTATATATTCAACATCACTGGAAAATAAAACAAAATAATATCTGAAATTTTTTGTGAACACTCATGGGTGGCAAAGGGGTGTTAAAGGCTAAAAAATAGAACTTTTTTTCAAATTTTTTATTTTTTTCTTCAAATATTTTTTTTCACGGGCAACGCCGGGCCCTTTAGCTAGTAATTTCTAAAAATATTATAATTATTTGCAACTACTTTACATAGAGGGAAGTTAAGGGAACAGGTTTAAATCTAAAATATGTCTACTAATAACCACATTCACTTGGCTTAATGCGTAAACACATTAAACAACTCCAATAACCATGTATACGGAACACTTAGCAACATGCGGATACACAATTGCAATAACCATGTGGATTGTGGAACACTTGGCAACATGCGGAAACACAATTGCAATAGCCATGTGGATTGTGGAACACTTGGCAACATGCGGAAACACAATTGCAATAACCATGTGGATTGTGGAACACTTGGCAACATGCGGAAACACAATTGCAATAACCATGTGGACTGTGGAACATTTGGCAACATGCAAGAATACAACTGCATTAGCCATGCGAAACTATTCCTTAACATTTACTGAAATATTATTTAGACCCGGTGATTGTTATTAGGTTTTCCGTAGGTCCTCAGCCTAATTCCGGGCAAATCTTTGATTACAAAATTGTCAGAATTTAGAAATGATTGAAAACTTGGAGATTTCATCGAAATAAAGTTTAAAAAGTCAAAGAATGACCAATTATTCAAAGGCACAAATTCTATCAATAAATCAACTAAAACTAAAATCAGTTGAATAAATCAATTAAAACTAAAATCAGTTGAATAAATCAATTTATCTAATTCAACAAATCAATTAAATAAATGAATTAACTCAGATCAATAGATAGATAGGTAATAATAATAATAGCCAGTCAAATATCATTCAGTAAATATCAAGGCTCAAAACATCCAATCAATAGAATTTAAAGTGACACTCCATGCCAAAGGCGTATTCAGGGGGGGTTATGGGGGCTAAGCCCACCTGGACCTGTGAAATCTTTCAGGGGGTTTTCAGACCCCAACGGGTGCTGAGCCCCCCCATGGATAGATAAAAAAAATTAAGCCCCCCCCCCCCCCCCACTGGACAAATTCCTGAATACGCCCCTGCTCCATGCAAAGATGGAAATGTCCTATTCCCAAAGGTACCAAGAAAACCTTTATCTGATCGATGATATAGAAGATATTATTGTTTTTTCTAGGTTTGAAAGTAATTACTTCTTATATTTCCTGCAGGTTTTCCAGCAGTGTAAATGTTTGAAGCCACTCTCGTAGAGAAAAACAGTTAACAATTAAAAAATATCAATTTTGAAATTATAAAACAATTTATATCTATTCTAATTCATACTTGATCATCTTTAGCTTTAAAGGGTACCGTTCAAAAAAAAAAAAACATTTTACCAAGACGAAAATGAAAATAATAAATTGATGAATATAATATTTACTGACCTGTAATCCTGAGGTTGTATTTCCAAGAAATCAGCATTTATAACCTTACACACACAATCTGCCCTACTCCTTTACAACATTTAAAAGTAGAACTCAGCTTATTATGATAAATAACAGATCAAAATTATTTTTAAAAATTTACAAGTTCTATTAATAGATCTACCAATTATGGAGATATTGACACTTTACAACACAGGCAAACAAGTACATCGCCAAAATTTATCATATTCCAGATCAAACTAATGATAAATTGAGAAAGGGTATTGTCTTACTTTTGTAATATTTGTTTGAGTAGACCACATCGTTTGGTACTTCGCTCCACTGCTACAACCTAATTTAAAGATATCTTAATGTTGCAATTTTAACTTCTGTTTTTGTTTTTGTTTTTTGGGGGTGGAGTGCAAAATACCTTTGCTCCTGGGGGTGGTGAACCCCCCATAGCGGCAACCCAGTCTCCACACACCAAACTTGCAATCTAAATTAAAGAAAAATTTAGTACTCACGAGTGCTAGTACTCGGCCAATCACTAAAGTTAAGAAACATTGGAACAAGGGTAAGAGGTATAAAAATCAAGCTAATCTGAAAATAACTAATTTTTCACAAATAAATTTGGAATCTAAGATATCATAACTGAGATTGATTGAATCAAATACTACACTGCCTGGGGGAATGGGTATACCTGACTAGTTTTCATGCCTGGAGCTGAACGTTCATTAAGCATTACACTGCCTGGATGGGGTGGGGAGGATACCTGACTAGTTTTCATGCTTGGAGCTGAGCATGCATCAAGCACTACACTGCCTGGAGGGGGAGATAAGGATACCTGACTAGTTTTCATGCTTGGAACTGAACATTTATCAAGCACTACACTGCCTGGAGGAGGGGGGGAGGATACCTGACTAGTTTTCATACCTGGAACTGAACATTTATCAAGCACTAGACTGCCTGGAGGGGGGGGGGGGGGTTATATGTATGAGGTTGTATGGGCTTCCAGGTTAGAATTGTTTACGCAATTTTATACAATACCTGACTGGTTTTCATGCCTGGAGCTGAACACGCATCAAGCACTACACTGCCTGGAGGGGGAGATAATGCATGAACAGGTAAACAGCTGGCCTTGTCTTGAAGCAGCAAAGAACCATCCTAGAGCAAAAAGTGTAAATACTGTCTTAATAAAAAAGAAACTAAACTCTTTTATTGGATACCTTAATCCCGTTCCCTTAATCTCGATATCCACTGTGGATATTACATCTGGGTTCAATAATGAGAGTTCTCTCATAGGTTGCGCGCCAAATTTCCCGGCTTTTGATTAGCTGTTCGATTTCTGATTGGTTGAATTTTCGACACTTTCATGGATATCATATAAAAATTAAATATATCTATAAATTAAAAAAAGAAGATCAAGCATTGATCTCGATATCTACAATACAAGAGTTTCTAGATCTGACTCCGTAGACTTTTTATGCATGAATTCTGCTAACTCACATAGTCAAAGCTTAAAATATCAAAGGTTTACTTACACCATAAGGTTGCAAGGATTATAGGTATTTGAAAATAAGAGTTCAAGGTGTGTAATCAGTTCCTTTCTAAAGGTCAACGTCCCCTGTTTTCTTCAATGGCCAACTATAAGTTAAGAGTATCGTTCTTTGATGATAATTTTAAAAAGTTTACCTTAACTAGATTATGATCGTAGAGCTGGGATTTAGGGGGGAATACAAGAACATTTTCTAGATGATAATCCACAAGGTAATTACTTTCATCCAACTCTGCTACCATATCCAGGTATCTAGAGAAGTAGGATAATAATACACTAGGTTACTACTTTCATCCAACCCTGCTACCATATCCAGGTACCTAGAGAAGAAGGATAATAATACACTAGGTTACTACTCTCATCCAACCCTGCTACGATATCCAGGTACCTAGAGAAGAAGGATAATAATACACTAGGTTACTACTCTCATCCAACCCTGCTACCATATCCAGGTATCTAGAGAAGTAGGATAATAATCCACTAGGTTACTACTCTCATCCAACCCTGCTACCATATCCAGGTACCTAGAGAAGTAGGACAATAATCCTCAAGGTAACTACTCTCATCCAAGGTACCTAGGTTCCTAGATAAGTGTTTATATTCAAACTTTAAAAAGAACCCAAGATTGAAAATAATTCGTTTTCATAAACAAAAACATGGATATTCGTTTATTATTGATCAGACAACACTTTTAGGGTTACTATTGAGAGTCGGCATGAACGGTCACTTGAAATTAATTCTACAGTCCCTTTAAGTCATTTTGTCAATAATCTTCAAATATATAAATGTTTTCTAACCTAGCATATGTTGTTTTCTTTTTATCATACATAACTTCTAACCAACCATCTTCCCTCAGATCACGTGCCACCCTAAAATGTATATTTTGCAAAATTATTTTCGAGAACTGAAAAAGTTCATGGTAGAAAACTGGGGCAAAATATATAACCCTGTAAATTGGAAAAAAATCAATCGATTAAAGTTTTTTTTGGCTAAAACACGCTTGTTAAAAATATTTCTCCTCACAACTTTAATGAGCTTTATTGTTTACTTCTGTTTTATTTCTGAATTCTAACTTGAAGAGTACAAAATAAAGGCAACGTGAAAATTCAACAAAGATGTAAAAAAAAGCTTAGAAGGCCTTTTTTACCGAACTGGAGGGGGGAAGGGGGCAGTTATCAAATTTATACCTGTGTAAACTGTTGCAGAGTGAGTTGACCCTCGCGTATTTAGGAAACCTATTCTTCTCCCGCCCTGATAGGTTCTCCAATCCTTAAAACATTTTCATTTATATATATATATTCTGTTTATAAAGTTGTAATCTCAGTTTGTCTGTTTATTTCTGTGTATGCCAGATCATAACGCATGAACCCCTAGACCGATTTGCTTCAAATTTTGATTGGGGAACTAGGGAGAACCACGGGAATGTTCTTAGCTTGGTTTTGAGAGTCTAATTTAGTTTCCCGGTAAAATCAACAACGTGCGGGTAAACGGCAGAAGTAACAAGGAGTAACCTGGGCAATGCTGGGTACCCAAGCTAGTCTATTTATAGACCCCCCGTTTGTGTTCCAAGATTCCTGAATAATGCGAAACCCTCAACATAATATTGATTTTAATTATATTTTAGTTTTTTTTTTGTTGTTTTCATAGATTTTGAAAAGTATTTCTCGCATATTTTTAACCAGAAAAAAGTCAAAATAAATTTTTCTTTGTGTTTAAGTTCCTTGTAATTGGGGTAAAAAAAAATTCATTTCCCTTTTTTTGTCTTGTTGGATTTTAAATTGTTCGAAATTAAAAGCTTAAGTTTCCCGTTTACCTTTCAGATTATTTTCTAGTTGATTTTTATATTTCTGCAGGGTTAGTACAGGTATACTTCTCCCGGGAAGAACCTTCTTCCCAAACAACAATTCTTAAATATTTGTTTTCTTGAATTTTCTAAATTTGAAACTACAGGGGGATTCACAAAGAATGAGACTTCAGAGACGATTGTACGGTATTTGCACTGTCTGTTTCCTTATATTTATAACCCCCTGCAACTGTAAACAGATTTTGTTCTTTGCCAAATCATTAAATAAGCCATTTAAAAACTACATTTACGACCAAAGATTCAATTCAACCTGGAAATCGTCATATTTTAAAAGTTTCAGGTCGTCTTTACAGTCTGATTCTTTGTGGGTAACCCTGTGTAACATCGAAATTTCACATTCGACGTCCCGTTTTATTTTATAGAATTTCTTGTGAATGCCTTTTTTTCTAATCATTTTTAATAAATAAATTATTTATATGCTTTTGATAAAACCACTTTTTCTTTCCACAATTTACCTTAAATAAAAACAAATTTTAAAAAATGTGCACCTTTTCTTACAGTACGAAGACAATCTTTGGTGTTTCTATCTTTCTATGTCATACTTTGACACTCAATAAAATCATTTTTTGTTCCAGGTAGTTTAGATAATAATAAAAAAGTACGTATTTTTACCAATATGCATTTGGTAGAAATGGAAACGAGTTACCTGTGATAAGTACAAAAGCCAGTTCTTTCTGAAATCTTGGCTCTTTAGTAAATAACTCAATCTAAATGGAAAAAAAAAACTTTTTTATATGTCTATATATATGTTTATTGTCTATAGTGTATGTCCATAAACCTCAGGAACGATTTGCCTCAAATTTTTAAAGGAGACACTCGGTAGAACTATGGAAATGTTTTAGCTTGGTTTAAAAGCTCTAAGCAGTTTGTCTGTTTGTCTGTTTGTATGTTTGTTTGTCTGTCCGGTCATAAGTAATGAATGAGCAGATTTGGAATGAACAAACCTTATTGGTTGCTGCTTCAATAGCCTTGGTGTGGTTTAAAGCCTCCATAACCAGCGCAAATATTGCCTTTAAGTTCGGATGTTTGTCCCTATAATATAAATAATTAGTTATCAAGATTAAAAAAAATTTCTAAAAAATCAAGTAAAAATTATTTTCCAGATTATTGTAAAGTTCTCTTTCAAAGAAATTTTCTCTATTTGCAATTTTTCTATTTAATGAATTAGAAGACGAGGATGAATGTTTTATAATTTTACTTCAATCTAAGCGTCTGAATATTGGCAATTTTCCATTTAATGAATTAGAAGACGAGGATGAATGAATGTTTTATAACTTTACTTCTATCTTTAGCGTCTGTATAAGAAGGAAATGCAATGGTTGAAAATGTTTAATACCAAGGGCGGATATTTCAGGTTAATTCCCGGAGTTGATATACCGCATTCCAAACTCAAATCATTCTTAATATTATTCTGAAGTGCTTAACTTAATTTTAAAGTATTTTGTTTATAAAGAAGACACTTCGAAAAATGCTTCTGCGCAGAACTAAATCTGGTAAATTTGGGTGGCTTAAGTCTTCCTCTCCATGTACATCCTTGAAATCATCTCTGGATTTTTCAGCAGATTGACCCATCCAACATCTCAGAACAAAACCCTTTAGCTTATAACTTAAAATTTCCCTTTCATATTTAACATTATAACTTTGTTTTATAGGATCTTATATTTTTATTTTGGTTTCAACAGTAACTCTGACATTAATACCTAAAATGGCCATCCTAGAGCTTGTTGAGAAAACATTAACGAAAAAAAATTAACAATTTGATCCTGTTCAACATTGGCTTTCCTTGTTCATGTTGTTTTTTACAAAAATTCAAACTAGTAAAACTTATAAATATTTTTATATCACTAAAAAAAATATTAGAAACTTTATAAAAAGTTGAATAATACGAAAAACTGTAATCTTTTGTAAAATTTTGAGAGGGTTGACCGGCCTCCTTTAAGAGTATAGTGTAATATTATTTTAAATATTAATTTATTTCATTTTTAAACATTATTATTTTCAAATTTTTAAACATGGGAAGACAATTTTTTGGCCGCTAGGTGTCTTATACTCTCTGAATTTAACAGATTTTTAGCGAATGCGAATAACACTTTAGAAATTACCTGGCTTGGTATACTAGATTCTTGACACTGTCCTTCCCTGCATTAAAATCTTGATAAACAGACGCGGCAACCTTGTATAGGCGTGGAACCGGTACTGCCCGCGGTCGGGTCATTATCACCTGAAATACACAACACGTACTTTATCAAGTTTCGTGCAACATTGAAGAAATTTAAATAATTCATGGACAAACATATTAAAAAAGAACATATTTGACAGTCACAAACACAATCAATTTTGTAAGTTTTAAAACAAAAATTCTTAATCTGAAGTTACTTTAAGTTATACACATAGGCAACTAGTATTATCACAGGATATCTTTAAGAACTAGTAGGACATCACAGTTTACGCAATTTTTTCTTAAGCTCTGACTTTTTCATGTTAATCGTTATCACAGATCTTTTAAATCCTTCTTTCTTTATCTGCAAGGGCTCAGGGCTTGTTTTCACGGGCTTTAGTGGACGCTTCAAAGCTGTTTCCTGTTTGGAGATGTCTGTATCCGGTTTAGTAACATCAGAATTGTTTTCTGTAATCCTTTGAATGAGGTTAAGAGTGTCCGAACTACAGAGGATTTCAAGACCGGACCTTAACAGAAAACATATTTATTAATTAAAAATATAAGCGTTCAATTCAATTATGTTCTTTTTCAAATAAAAGTTCTTTCTTTGTGGTCCCTGCAGCATAAATCCGCAAATAACTTATATGGAAGAACAACGATTGAAAGTAATCAATTTTAAGATAAAGATTTAAAGAGTGAATCGGGTTTGAAAGTCTTTAAATGGAGAGGCACTTTAAATGGAGGGTCACTTTAAATGGAGGTTCACTTTAATGGAGGTTCACTTTAAATGGAGGTTCATTTTAAATGGAGGTTCACTTTAAATGGAGGTTCACTTTAAATTGAGGTTCACTTTAAATGGAGGTTCACTTTAAATGGAGGTTCACTTTAAATGGAGGTTCACTTTAAATGGAGGTTCACTTTAAATGACAGTCTCTTTAAAGGTCATTTCAAGTAACCCTTCAATTATAGATAGTAAATCCCGATATACCACGGTATCCTTAAAAGCTTTGTCTGATCAAGTATGAATTAGATATTCATGTTTTTAACGGTTTATTTTTATTCAGGATTTTTCCACAAGTCTTGTTTTTATAAAAGATGGAGAAATTATCAGAATTAAACATAACGTTATCTTCCACAATTTCATATTAAGGTTGTTGCAAGTAGGACGTGATCAGTATTAGAACTGAGCCGACCAAAACAATACCTGGATGATGCTGGGAGTGGGTTGGTTAAAAACTTCTCCTCCTTAAACCGTTCTGTTTTAAGCTGAGGTCTGGTAATCTTTACTCCACTATTCTTATACTCACCCAACTCTAAATCCTAGAAATTTAAAACAAAAAAAAATTTATTTGGACTACTTTATTTTTTTTTTGCTTATGCATGGGTGTACATTTTTCAGAATTAATCCCCAGGCGGGCCCNAATTAACCATGGGTCGTCAACGGCAAGTTTTTCATTCTTTTTGATAATTACAGCCAAAAAATCATTTTTACCATAAAATTTTCAGCGAATAAACCCCAAAAAAGTTTACCTTATCTCGAATAATCTTGAACAGCTGTTTCCTTTCTTCCAACAATCCATCTTAACAATCAATTATTAGTCCAAAATTCAACAGAAACAACCAATGGGTAATGTTCATATCAAATCTATTCAGATCAAATATGTGGTTTTAAAGCTTGTGGAATGTGGAAGAGGTTGCTACCTCTAATTGTGATTCAAAATTGGTCTCTTCATTCCTTTTAAGGGTAATAAAGCATGGGGAAAATTCAATACAATTTGTAACACTCTAGTTTTATATTGTTTATTTACCTATTGATTGGATTATCTGATTCGTAAATATCTCGGAGAACATTTTAGCCGTCCCTCTTCTACTGATATTCAAACATTGGGGTTTAAAACTATCCTTAGTTAAAACTTTAAACCCAGTTTCCTACTTGTGTAGGAAACGTTTCCAATGAAACTAGTAGGAAACGGATAGGAAACATTTCCTATGAACCGGGAAGGAACGTTTCCTACTGGTTTCATACCAGTTTCATACCCTTTTCATACCAGTTTCATATCAGTTTCATACCAAGTTTTAAACCAGTTTCATACCAGTTTTTGCCATTTTTCAATGGTTAAAAATGCTGTGCTTCAAAATAATTTTAAACTGGTTTAAACTGGACAAAACTGGATTTAACTGGTTAAAACTGACTTGACTGGTTTGAACTGGTATGAAACTGATTTGACTGGTTTAAAAATAGATTAAAACGGATACAAAGAGGATTTAACTGGTTTAACTGGTCTTCCTGGATTCAGACTGGTTTTTAAAGTGCTTATAGACTGGTTTCAAACTGGTTTAGGAAGGCTTTAAATAGGTATCAACCAAGACTGCTGTTTTAAGGTTTCTATAAGAAAAAACCTGTTTCTAGGCCTTAGTTGGTCTGGATTTTACCTGATTTTTTAGATATATACATTACAATGTTAGTTTTCCTGAGATAAAAAGTCCAGACTAATGGGATACCATCGTTATCCCAACTCAAGCTAAACTCATAAACATCCTCTTAACACAGTCAATGAGATTGAGGACCAATGCTGACAAATGGTGACCATGGGTTAAAAAATGTTGACTAAATGTTACCCGTTACAATATATAATCAACAAGAACATAATTTATGCCTGCCACAATGCACATGTGGATTCTCCAATCCTTTATTTTATGACATTAGGTTAAAAATAAAAACATAGGTTAGATAGGTAAAAAAATGATTACATGATTGATTAATTGATTAATTGATTGATGCAATGTTCCTTTGATAGTTCTGGTTAAACTGTTATTATTGAGTACAGCTGCACAGACATCCTTTACCACATCTTCAGCACTAAATCCTTAATAATAAATCCCATGTTTCTACAGAAAAGTCAAACCAATAAAAAACAACTTAAAGGGAATGTAATCATAATTCCAGGCGACCCCAATTTACAATGGTACCCTTTAAACCTGACATAAATCTCAGTGAATTGAAGTGTATACTAGTGTACTGCGCGGCGTGAACTCAATACGGATGACCTAATATGATAATCTTATGAGGAAAAAAAAGTAATTATGGAAATTCTTAAACGAGATGAAATAATCTTGATGCATTCTTTAACGAAGGCCACAGGCCTGAGTTAAAGAATGCATCAAGATTATTTCATCGAGTTTAAGAATTCCATTATTACATTTTTATCCTCATAAGATTATTATTATATCATATTTGTGAGGTTCCATGGGCACATAGGGCACATACCCAAGAAATTATATCAAAAAATAATTCTGGTGAAATCCGACTATTTTAAGTTGGAACAGTTCACATTATGAAAGGTTGCAAATAAGTTTTATGCTCTTGTTCTGACTAACGCTTTTTTATTTTTCTAATGTTAAAATATTAAAAAAAAAACATTTTAAAAGTAAAAATTGGTTCTTAATTTGAAAGTAATGCATGTGGTGTGATTGTTTCCTTAATTTAATTTAGTTTAGTTTAGTTTGTTTACCAATTTCTTATGATTTTGCTCGTTTTTCAAGTTATTGAGATACAGCGTGTTAAATGTGCCCTGAGTTTTTTTTTAGATGGGGAGAAGGTATTGTATTGGGTTGTCTTAATCTACTGAACAATATCGTGTCTTCATTTATAGAAGAAATCATTTTCTGGATATTAGAAATATTAGAATTGGAAGATAGGTTTACTACTATGGAACCGAACAGATATGATATAATACTTTTTCTTTTAAAAATCTAGATTATTTAATCTCCAATACAGTTTCAGTCAAAGTTCTATAGGTACTGTTGTGAATCGGGATGCAAGGTCACTTGAAATTGCGCTTACAGCTGTCTCTGTCAAGTTTTTGAAAAACTGAATTTGAAATTCTTAAGGGTAAAAAAGTGTTCTTAGATCTAGAGTGAGAACCAATAATCACTGGAGTTCCCCGTCGTGTTTTTATTATTATGTATGAAATGTCACGAAAGGCTTTGTATTTTGCAACTAAACTAAATCTAGATCAAAGTACCCATTTTTTGAGTTGTAACAATTGTAAACCAAAAATTCCTTGGCAACATTTCTTTAGTAAAATTAGGAACAAAGACGACATTCATTCCATAGTTTTCTGGTTCTCAACCTTCTAGATCAGGGTTCAGCTCCTGTAGCCTCGAATTGATCTCATCCTGACTCAAGATTTCCTGAAAATGATTCGGTTCAAATTTTAAAGATTATTAAATTTAATGTATTTATTTAGATTGTCGAAGTTAATTATAGTTCGTTAATGGGTAATGTTAATTAATCGATTGCATGGAAAATTGATTTATTGATTGGTTGATTGGTTGATTTATTGATTGGTTGATTGATTGATTATATCACCTGATAAATATAAACCATGTCAGTAAGATAGAAGCTGTATGTATCCTCGGATCTAAACAAATCAATATATTGAATTAGGAAAATTTACTTTTAAAAATTACAATTAGTACCCCTCCCTTCCCAGTACCTTTCCTATTGTCAAAAATTTAGACTCTTATGCTTAGAAGGGAGGAGATTTTTTTAATGTTTACCCTATGGCCCTCGAGGGGTATCTTTATCTATTTCAGCATCTATCTAAGGAAAGATGAGAAAGAAAATGGACTGAAATAAAAAAAACAAGACAAAATCATATTTAAAATAACAGGCATTTCATGGAAGATTTATGGCCGAAGTTTTAAAGGGGATGGTGGAGATGTCCTATTTGTCAAGGTCATTAAAGGTCATTAGAGGTCATAGTGTCCAAATTTATTATATTTTAGCAAATTCGAACACAAATTTGGCGTGCAGCTAAAAAATTGGAAGATTTGAACCAAAAATGAAGGCAGGGACCTCCCCCTCCTTCATCAAATAGGACATCCCAACCATCCGGCACCTTTATGGAAATACACCTATTAATACTATTATTATTATTATTATTATTAGGAGACAACCCATCATTCAATAAAATAGGGGTTAAAATTCCTTGCCACTGAAATATATTCATGGGCAAAACGGAAGGAGACTAACCCATTCTTTAAAAAGTTGTATAACGTCCGTTTCACTTGGCCTTATTACCTACAGTGCTTGAAGAGGAAATCTGCCTGATCCAGCTTTATCCTGTTCCAGCTTAACATTTTACCTCTGAAAAATAGCTGCGTAACAAATATACTACTTTGAGTAAAATGTTTCAAAATAGAATATGTATCAATATAAAAAAATATAAATAACCATTTGGTTTAATGTATTATCATATCAAAATTTATGTGTGTACTTAGTTAACCAGAAAACAGTAAAATGATTGTCATTTTCTATATTTCTTTTTATTATGGAAAGGAAATGGCTCAATTCCATTGCAGAGAATTTTGTAATTGTGAACTGATAATAATAAGGCATTTTTCAGAAGATACAAAATTATCGGTGATACTTTTTTATTTCCGTGTTGAGAAAACGACAACCATTTCACACTTTACATTGCCATAAATTTCATCTGATACCGTTTAAACACTACACAAGCCAGAAGTTTGATCGCATTCGCATTATTTCTCTATGGTCCCACTCTCTCTTTCTCTCTTTATCCCTTCTAAGGCCCAGGGCTATACTTCCCCAGATCAGAATCATCAGAGTCAGAAAGGGTGACGACTTCCTAGAAAATATACATATATTTATTATTTTTGAAAGGGGGGGGGGCAATTCGACAATTAAATTTTGGACAAGCTGCTTTTAGTTCTAATAATTAAGATGGAAGGCTGAAATTTTGCATACAGGCTCTAATTGTGGTCATCTACATAGATAGAAAATTTGAGATCAGAGGTCATTGACCTCCATTTTGACCTCAATGAAAGAAATAAGGGAAAATACCACTTTTTTCATCTAATTAAATTATCTTAAGTTAATCAGACATGTTTTCATATTTTTTGCTTCCACAGAAGTCATGCACTAATAAAGAAACATATATCCGACCTCCATTTTGACCTCCCTTCGATAAATAATCTATCTCAATTTTTACGACCAAACGCAGCCTGTACAAAAGTTTGTGTCACAAATTGTAGAATTGCCCCCCCCCCTAATAATAAAACCCTATTTTATTTCTAGGAAAATATTTATTCAAGTTAGGGGGTGGGGGTTACTGACCTGGGTCACTGGTGTCCTTTCATATACGTGCATTCCCAGATTCTTTTTACGTCTGTAGTGTTGAAATTCAGTAGAGATGTCGTCTTCCAAAATTTCAAGATCTGAACTAGGTTGAGATATAGATTCAGAGGGAATTCGAGAGGGTTCAGCTTCATATTCCAATATCTCAAGATCTGAATAATGCCGAGATCTTGATTCAGTGGTTATTGGAGTTGGTTCAGTTTCATTTACCAAAATATCCAAATTAGTATTTTTCTGAGATATTGATTCACCGGAAACTTGAGGTGGTCCCATCTCATTTTCCAATATCTCCAAATCTGAACTTGGTTGAGATCTAGATTTAAAAGTAACTGGGGGTGTTTCAGCCTCATTTTCAACTATCTTAAGATCTGAATTGTGTTGAGATCTAGATTTAGAAGTAACTGGTGGTGGAGGTGGTCCAGCTTCATTTTCCATTATCTCCAAATCTGAACATGGCTGAGATCTAGATTTAGAGGTAACTGGGGGTGGAGGTGGTCCAGCTTCATTTTCCATTATCTCCAAATCTGGACTTGGCTGAGATCTAGATTTAGAAGTAACTGGAGATGTTGGTGGTCCAGCTTCATTTTCCATTATCTCCAAATCTGAACTTGGCTGAGATCTAGATTTAGAAGTAACTGGAGGTGTTGGTGGTACAGCTTCATTTTCCATTATCTCCAAATCTGAACTTGGTTGAGATCTAGATTTAGAGGTAACTGGTGGTGGAGGTGGTCCAGCTTCATTTTCCATTATCTCCAAATCTGAACTTGGCTGAGATCTAGATTTAAAATTAACTGGGAGTGGAGGTGGTCCAGCTTCCTTTCCAATAATCTGGAAATGTGTACTTTGCTGAGATCTAGATTTAAAAGTAACTGAGGGTGCAGGTGGTCCAGCTTCATTTTCCAAAATCTCGATTTCTGAATTATCCTGAGAGGTTTCATCACAACAGATTACTTCATCCTTATCCTCGTCTAGCCGCAAAGGTTGTCGTAGTTGAACCAATGGTATTCCCTCCTCAACTTCATTTCCATTATTCTCATCATCCTCGACATCATAAACCTCCCTAGTAAAATTGAAACTATGGAAACCGACCTAAAGGAAACCGACCAAATTATCGAGAAAATATTGGACAGTTTCAGCTTTCCGCTCGTTTAACTCGTTTTACTGGATTCAACCCGATTCTTTATTTAATCTTTGTCTAACACAAATTCCAACTTCACCCACCCTAACCTTTTTTTAGGGTCGTATATAATTTTAGGTCAGAAAACCCTCAGATCAGATAACACTTATGTCTGTTTCCTTAGGTCGGATGACCAGGTACCTTAAATTGCTGTTATTTTAACTATCAGTAGTAGCTCCATTCCTTAGAATTAGAATTAGATTAGATCTCAAAGGTCCAATTCACTCTTTTAAGTCCAATATTTGATTATTCGGTCCATATATATAAGACAATGAAAAAATTTAATCCTTAAAGGGACAGACCGGCTATGTAAGGTAGTTGAACTGAGTATGCAGTGTTGTGGACAAATTCTTTAGGATTCATTTGAGAAACATTAATACTTCTTAAAGATCTGCAAATCCTGAGTTTGAGCGCAACGTCGGTGTTCAAAACAGTACTTCTGGGTGGATACGTTTTCAGAATTGTTTTTTTAAATTATTAAATAACGACAACAAAAAATGTTAACAAAATTCTACAGTAAACTAATTAGTCGTTCAGGAACAGGTTGGGAAAATAAATATTAATCTTATCATCGAACATAAGTACAATTATTAGTTTCTATTTTCTCATTATTCTAGTTTCTCATTATTCACAAAGATTTTCTGCAGATTTCTGGAATTAATATTGAAAAGACCACATTTGAAGAATTTGTAGAAATCTACGAATGAATTCATAGAAAATAGGAAATTCAATTTAATGATGAAAACGAATAATTGATTCTAGCATTGATTTATTAACAAATTTCTTTTGAGAAATATGTTCCTATACTGTAAAATTTTTCGTCGTCATTATTTAGTAATTTAAGAAAACCGATTCTGAAAATGTACCCACCCAAATTCATGATTTTGAACGTAGACTATGCACTCAAACTCAGTAATTATACATCGTGGAAACGTTTTTTATGTCTCAAATGAATCCTAAAAAAAATTTCCACAACACTGCATACTCAGTTTAACTAAATTACATAGCCGGTCTGTCCCTTTAAGGATTCAATTTTTCCATTGTTTTATATTTATATTTTCATTTTTTTAACTTCCGTCATCATTTTTGCTCAATTTTTCCATAATTAGATTCAAAGATTAGATAAAGAAAGATATTTTCAGTTCATTAAGTAAAGATAGATTAAATAATGATTATTTATAACCAACCTAACTAATAGATCTTGATTCCCTTTATGTCCCGGTTCAGCGTATCCTCCTGCTAGGTTTAACAGACGTCGTAACACTGTGTCACAAGATTTAAGTCCCTGGGACTGAGTCTTGTAACTCTGTGACCGAGTTTCAAAACCTTGAGACCGAATTTGTAGAATAGGTTCGGTATTAGCGTTGGATTCTGAGTGAGAAAGAAAGTTAGGTTTTAAACCAGAGGAAAGATGTTTATCAGGTTCAACCAGTTGAATTTCAGGACTTAGTCTCGAAGTCGCAGAGCGGTCCTGGGATCCTCGGTAGGATAGTGCCGAGGGTGATTGATCGATTGATTGATCTGAAAGGATGTTTATAAAATGCTTCCTAGGACTAACTAGTTCTCCGGGTTCAAGCTCAGCGACACCGGAGCGAAGGCTCTAAAACAGGGAAAATAATTTTAAAAGTTGTTTGGGAAATGATTTCAAAGCTTTTTGAGTAGGGTTGCGCGCAATTGTACTCGTATTGCGCGGAAATTACAGGTCCCGGAAGTAAAATCCACTCGCGTTGAAAACCCTTTTTTTGAGGCTTTTTTTTAACTCATCCTAGATTTGTTATTTACTGTTCAATATTGGCGGCAAGAAGAAGTAATTGTAATTTGATAATAGAATAGAAGGATGAATATGTGAATTTATCAATAATAGGATAAATAAAAGGATGAACTAATGACCGAATGTAATGAAGAACAAATGAATTAATAAGAAATTACTACCTGAACATATTCTCTATCCTGTTCCCTCCGATATTTCTGCCTCCGACTGTCCTCCAACTGTATGTCCCAGTGCCTCCGAAACTCCTCTGTACTCTCCTCCTCCTCCGTCCTATTTAACTTCTCCTTTAGTTGTATATTCCGCATTGCCTGTATTCTCTTCTCCTCCTCAACCTCCCTTCTATTCAACCTTAAAAGGAGAGATTAAGTTACGGTCGAATTTTTCTTACGTTTTTCTTCCGGAAAATTAAATAATTGTAAAAAAATCTCATACGGACACACGCTCTGATTCATAATAAAAAATCGTAAAAACATCTTTAATGTAATGAATTCTAAATTTTTAAATTGTTAAAAATGTAAAAAAGAACTAGGCAAGAGTCAAAATTGAGAGAGAACCTAATAGATTCACTTCCATCATCCTGAACCTCTGTATCCTCGCTCACTAAACATCCTTCATCTTCATCTAGTCCTCTAAAGGGTCTCCGTTCATCCTCATCTACTCGTTTACAGGACCTACGTTCATCCTCATCTACTCGTCTACAGGACCTACGTTCATCCTCATCTATTCGTCTACAGGACCTACGTTCATCCTCATCTATTCGTCCAGAGGACCTCCGTCCATCCTCATCTAGTCGGCTAGAGGGCCTACGTTTAGCCTCATCTATTCGTCCAGAGGACCTCCGTCCATCCTCATCTAGTCGTCTAGAGGGCCTCTGTTCTCGGTATTTGGTAAAATTTAACTCTGGACTGTGTCCATAATTACGCAAACTTCTTTTCTAAAAAGTGTGTAAAATATTATTAAAAGGAAAATAGAGAGGTGGTGAAAGGGTGGATAAAAAATTAATAGGAAGCATGATGAGAAAATGGATGGATAGGGATTAAAGGAAAGTGATGAAAAACTTGTTTATCCCTTCAAATATTATTTTATGCCCCACGGTAGGAAGTATATACTAGATAGTAGGGGTGTTCATTTTTAGGGTCACTTTTGGTACAGATATGCAAGGTCGCCAGAAAGTTGCAAAATTTTGCAAGATTTTCAAAAATAGTTTTTAAAAAATTCTTAAAATTTTTTTTCAGGGTGCGCCAATTGATTAAAATTTCACCTTTTTTCGATTTTTTAACAAAAATTGTAATATGCCCATCCCTAATTTGGTTATCAACATGCATATCAGTTATTATGGAGATAAACATGTCTAGAATACACACACAAAAAATTAAAACCCTATCTTGACTGGAAAGGTGTGCGCCAAATGGTTTCTTGAACTACGCAAAAACAAAAATAATCAATCAATCAATCAATAGTTTTCAACATTTTTGGCGCAAGTACTTCTAACCAAGGTAGGATGTTAAATTTTTTTGTATGATCAAATTAGACCATTTCAGATAATATATCTGGACAGTATCATCTCAACTTGTCGGGGGGCCGGGG